GACCCCTAGACTCGATTATGATACTGCACTAGGTCTCGGATTGGGCTGTCTTTGATGTACCAATCAGTGAGATCCTTAGCGGGGGTCAAAACCTAGTATGTTGGGACAGTCTAAGAATTCATCTGAGTGGATGATCATAGCGACAGGATCAGCCCATTTGTCGGACAAAGGTAATGATCGGGGATGCACTCTCACTAATGGAAACCAAGACTGCCGGCAACCGATTTCAATCGTTGAAATTTGTTTTGCAAAATATATTTTATATGAGATATAATAGTATATATATATATTACGGTTTCCAAAATGTTTGCAAGAAGGTTTTAATTCCCGGGATCCATATAATCAGAGAGTGCGACACTGTTCCTTGCAGCCGAGGGAGATGTCATCTCTTGTCGGGCAGTGTTTGATCATTATGGGCTGAGAGGTTGAGTGTAAGACCATTAAGGATAATACCTGATGGGCTAATCTTGCATCTGCCCATAGTCCCTGGTGTTACAAGGTGGCTTGGCCCAGGGACCACTTAGGGTAAGTGTTGGGCCCATAGAGCTCATATGATGGGTTTTAGGAGGTGTACTGTCCATAACAGTGTATTCGGTCAGGCCTTGTAACAAAGGTTGGGCTTAACCCATGTGGCTGATGTGTAGATCAATGCTTGAGTCCCACACCCAGTTGGGAAGGCTAAGTGAACACATAATCTTAATGGGCCTAAAGCCCATTTCGAACTGGGCTAATTTAAGTAGTTAAATATGGGGCGAATTCTGGGAATGGATTGACAGATAGGATAGGGTCTTAATCCTATCCACTCAGAGAGTCCAGATCTGAATGTGATTCAGATCTGGAAACCTCCTAATGAGATTAGGAGAATGCTGATCTAATCTGTAGATAAGATAATGGTTTATCTTTATCACCTAAAGGGATGTCTGATCCAAATCATATTTGGATCAGCAGCTCCTAATGGGATTAGGAGTTGATCCTTTAAGGTTACAAAAGAAGGAAGGAGCAACAACCTTTAGATATTACAAGATCATCAGATCACTGTAAGTCTTTAGAGCTGAAATCACAAAAGAGAGAATTCAGCATACCTGTGAAAATTCTTTCTTGCCGCCTCCTTCCTGCCGCCGCCTCACCTGCCAATTCGACCTCCTTTTTAGTGGGAGAAATCAAGATTCGATCTTGATATCAGTTCCTTGTGAAGGGACTAATAGGAAGCTGTGCTCACGTGCCATCTTGCTACTTCTTGCAAAGGGTTAGGTTCTTGGAGAGAACACTGCTGATTCTGCTCCACCCTACACTGCGCCATCTTCAGTGGGAGCAGTCTTTGGATATTTTCTTGGGTGTGAACACCTTCGTTGGGAGATATTATTTCTCCGTATCAGGTATAATCCTCTGCTACTGTCTTTTGTTCAGATCTGGTTCAGTTTATGGTTCAAGATTGGTCATTGAAGATATGATTTTCTAAATAGGGAATGCGATTCCCAGTTGAAGGGAGAGAATTTTATTTTTTTGAAATTTGCCCATCTAATTCCACAAAATTTGGGTGTTCATACGATGAATCTCTCATCACTTCATAGGATGATTTCAAAATTGTGATTCTTTGTCTGAATAAGTCCAATCCATGCACGTGGAACCTCTGAGAGCTCAAAGAGGATTGTTTATTGGCTGACTCACTATGCTCCTAAGTCTTCCCGTGAAAGTTGTAACTTAATTTGCTCGTTTGCGTTTATTTGGTAGGACGTCCTACCCCCGTCTTGTGTATAGCCCCCCTTTTATTTATTAAAAGAAATAAAAAAAGACCGCTACTCCGCTGCAGAAGCCCAGCTCTGTTACTGGTTACCGCGAAGCAGGATATCCCCATATGGACGTAGAAACACCACCTCCATGCCCAAAGGAGCCTCCGAAAATCCACCGCCTCGACCAGTCGGTCGTCAACAGGATTGCCGCCGGGGAGGTCATTCAACGCCCCGTCTCCGCCGTCAAGGAGCTAGTAGAGAATAGCCTCGATGCTTCCGCCACCTCCATCAGTGTCGTTGTTAAGGACGGAGGTCTCAAGTTCATCCAAGTCTCCGATGACGGCCATGGAATCCGGGTAAGAAAACGCGACAAGCCTACATTTTCTCTGTTCCAATGGAAACGACAGAAGCACATAGAGATAGGTGGAAAGATTCTGGGTTTAGGTTCTTCTTTCTTCGTTTAGTTCTTTCTGCGAGTTTTATGTTTTTTCTCATTTTATTTGATTCATTGTTTCCTTAGTATGAAGACTTGCCAATACTCTGCGAAAGGCACACCACGTCGAAGCTATCGGCATTCGAGGACTTAGAGACTATAAAATCAATGGGGTTTAGGGGAGAGGCATTGGCCAGCATGACGTATGTTGGCCATGTTACAGTGACGACGATAACAGAAGGCCAGTTGCATGGTTACAGGTGCGTGTTTAATGGAAAAGAAACTCAAACTAGTTTGTTTGGTACTCAATGTCGGATTAACTGGTGATGAACAAGCTGGATGCTGGAACTATTTTACTTTTTTTTTCTTTGTTAATTGGTTATTTTGATGGAGTATTACATTTTGATTATTTAGGTTTTTGAGTGTTATTTAGGGTATCTTATAGAGATGGTGCCATGGAGAATGAACCTAAAGCTTGTGCTGCTGTTAAAGGGACTCAGATAATGGTAAGACGATCGGGCTGTACTGTACCAGATACCCCCAAATATAAAACCAAAGTCTGAAGTTTTTATGTGCGTAATATTTGCTTTAATTTCTCTATTTGATTAGTTTTTTGCGCTTTCAGATTGAGAATCTATTCTTTAACATGAGCGCTAGGAGGAAAACGTTGCAGAATTCTGCAGATGATTATTCAAAGATAGTAGATTTGATAAGCCGGTTTGCAATTCATCACATAAATGTTGGCTTTTCTTGCAGAAAGGTTGGTATCTGAGCTTTGATCCATCCCTTAGTCATTTAGTTGTATTTTTTTGATAGAAAAATGAAATTTATTGAAAAAGCGAAGTACATTGATGGAAAGGTGTTAAGGAAACACCTTAAAGCAAATAAAAACCATGTAACAGAACAATATTTGGCATTTCAATTGTTTCTCGAAACCTGTCTCCAAATTCTGATCTAGAAGCCTGAGCATAATCTGGAAGGACCAGCATTCAGTCTATAACCTTTTTACCAATGCTAGCCACAACTCTTTCAATCATCCAACATTTGTCTTCGAACATCCTTCTGCTTTTCTTCCAAATTCACCAATAAATTGCAAAAGTGCAAATGAAGTACAATTTTAGAAGATTTTGGATTTCTTACTTCCCTGAATCTTTGGCTACATAGAGAAAATTTCTTCTGGTGACAACGGCTGAAAACATCTCACTCATAAAAGAGAAGAACAAAACCACCAAATAAAATCAACCACCCTTAATGATGCAAAAAATGTCTTACATCCTTCTCTTCTCTAAGACGCATGAGATACATGCTTGCTAAGTTAATTCCTCTGCTCTTTAAATAATCTGCTATCAAAATATTGTCAATTGTTTACTGGCTAAGCAAAACTTCTCAAACAAATGCTTGTCAGGGGCAAATGTCTCTGTATAATCAATTCCATAAGTTTGAGAGAGATCCTTGGCTATCAATTTGGCTTTGTACCTTTCTACCGACCATGAGCCCAATGTTTAACAGAGGATACCTACTTACACCCTACAGGTTCTTTACCTTCAGGAAGGTCAACCAACCCCCAAGTGTTGTTCTTGTGAAGAGCATTGATTTCCTCCAGCATAGCGTTCTTCCACTCAAGAGTTTTTAGATCCTTTGCAACAAATTTAGGGATAGAAACACTAGAAGTAGTAGATAAGAAAGTACAATAAAAAGGAAACAGGTTATTACAAATAATGAAATGGCTGATGGGGTGCTTAGTGGTGTTTGAATGGGTGCCTTTATGAATGGCAATGGGAACATCAAGGTCATAGTTAGGATTACAAAGAGAGATAACACCTAGCTCAATGGGACATGCACTACTCTTCAGGCTTGCCTCTTGAGAGTCCACTGGTTCAGGTGGTGCGGTCTTAGGCAAATCTGTATATGGTGATGTGAGTTGGCCCTTTTGGTAATGAGGATGTGAACAAGATTACATGCACTGAACAGGGGAACAAGTGGTAGCATGATGAGGAGGTGCAAAAGATTTAGATGTCAGAGTTTCAAAAATAGGAAGAGGAAGCTGAACTTGTCTCTTCTCAAAGTTACTATTCTTCCCCTGAGGAGAGGTATTGAAGAAAGGTTGAGACACAACAAAGGGCACATCCATTGATATGTAGACACACTAGGAAGAGGGATCATAACATTTTTTTTGATTGGAAACACAATAATTAAAAGGTACAACAAGAGGTTGTGGATATAAACAAGAAAATATCATTATAGCCCATCCACCCATTTAAGTTACATCAAAGCCCAGAGTTTGCCAATACATCAGCCAAGGTATTAGCTGACCTTTGTACCCACTAGATTTTTGTTTGTAATTATAATTACTTTGAAAAATATTTAAACCATCTAATTTCGTTCTTGAAACACCATGCTACCTAGCTTATGACCACCATAGAATAGCCTTTAATAATCAATCTTTCAGCATCCATCTCCTTGGATTTTTGTAACTTCAAAACTTGCTGCCAATATCTCTGCCCTTATTGAATCTCCTTCTCCTATGAGACCTGAATACAGTGCTAGGATACTTCTGTTCTCATCCCTTATTGCACCTTCAGTACCCAAGGGCCTAGGCCCCTACTCCCGTCAACATTCAGCTTCCGCCACATCCTACAGTCCTACTTGGGGATGCCTATTCCTTTATGACTTTTGACTTTATAGAGGATGAAACCGTAACTCTCCCCACTGTCTAAGTATATCATCAAGGGTGTAATGACAAAACAAATCCAATGTCCTCACCCATTGTGTGACAAACTCTTAGTGCAATAGTTTCAACTACTGCTCTTGTGCACTTCCACATGACTTACCTCTTTTCTTTGAACATCATAGTAGTGAAGCTGGAGCATCAAACAACCTATACAAACTAAAAGGAGGATCCAACCTGCAACCACAAAGAGCTGGAAACCAATTCCAAATAGAACAGGGAGATTAGTAGGTGATATGGTGTCTCACCATTCAATTTGCACATGATACACCGGTTAGGAGATAATTGCCAGCTGGGTCAATTTCTTTTTGCAACATGTCACAAGTTTGATACTTCCATGGAAAACTTCCCAACATTGATTTTGGGAGGTGTAGGAGTATACCAAACCTCCTTCACAGGAAAGGACCCTAGCAGGGGGAGACCTTGACCAACATCAAAAGAAGTGCTACAAGGAAAACTTCCAAAAGAGTTAGAAACCCAATTGGGTGTGTTTTCAGAAATGAGGAGGGTGTGGTAATTGCTCTCTTTTTGAGGCCAATTGGAATGGGTGATTCTCTCAGAGCTGAGATTTCAGCTGTTATCGAAGGAACTCAAAGGGCAATCGAACTGAACATCACCAAATTGGTCATAGAGGGTGACTCTAAATTGGTAGTGGATTAGCTGAAAAATGATACTGCTAATTTACAGCAATGAGAAGAGGAAATTCAATTGGTTAACTAAGAATATTGAGGTGAAGAGATGAGTTGGGTTAAAAGAAGTGTTAATTCCTTTGCTGATGGGTTAGCTAAACAAGGGGCAACTAGGGACTTTTTATTCTGGGCTATCTTGTAAATTTTTCTCTTGTTTTCTTGTTTGAATAGGTGAGATAAGAGAGTTTATCTCCCTTTTATTGTGCCCTTGTACCATTTCTCTCTAATCTTAATGAAACATGTGAGTTATTGATAAAAAAAAAGGGAAAAACAAGATGGTGTGGAAAAGATAGTGGTAACTAGAGTCCAAGTAGGCAAATTGCTGGGGGTCTCCATGTTAGGTGGGGAAGAGTTTGTGAGAGAAATGTTTTGGGAATTGGAAATGAAATATCCTATGTGTGAGGAAAGCTCTGATGGAGAGTATTGAGAATTGGGAGGGTGCATATAGGGTCGAATTTCAAATCAAAGATGTGGGGGGTGAGTTTTTTTGGGTTTGGAGTTTATCATGGGTATTGGTATATTGGTTTTAATTTATTAAGGGTTGGGGATGAAATTTGTACTCTAAAGGGGTCTTGGAAGTTTTTGAGATAGAAGGTAAAGTATTTCAATAACAGAAGACTGAAAAAAGATCCAGCCTTGCCCACTGAGGAACTGAGCAAGGAAAAGCTTTGTACAACTCAGAAAAACCAAAAAAGAACATCATACAAAAATATTTCTATTACCAAAAGGTAAAGGTGTCTTGGAAATTTCTTTGTTATGAGTGTTGAGCTTTTTCTTTCTCTCGTGGCCTCGTGGGTGATATCTTATCACCTTACTTGTAACCTTTTTTCTCTTTGATAAAATTTTTCTTTTTTATTTTTATTACCAAAAAAATAAAGCACTCCTAACAACATTATGGAAATTGATTCCTATTTAATGCCTCATTTTGACCATTCTTTCCTTCTTGTTTTTCTTTTTAATTTTTCCCTACTTAGCATGGTGCTGCCAGACCTGATGTTCACACAGTTGCTACATCCTCAAGAATTGATGCGATCAGATCTGTTTACGGAGTTGTGGTTGCTCGTGACCTATTGAGCATAACTGCTGCAGAGAATGACCCATCTAGACCAGTGTTTGAGATGAATGGGTTTATCTCCAATTCAAATTACAGTGCGAAGAAGATAACTATGGTTCTTTTTATCAATGGTTAGTTTATCTGGATGATTTTACAAATCAACATTTTTCTCTATTCTGTTGTACTTTGGTTGCAATGTACTGGGTGCATATGAGTGTTGAATTTGAATGATTCATTTGTTCGTTCTCTCCATGTCTGTTTTTCTCATTTTGTGTTTATGTGTGTGAGGGGGGGGGGCTTTAGTCCACTTCTTTAATATAAGAATATTATTTGTTCCATCTTTAATATTATTTGTGTTGCTGATCAAAAGAGAGAGAGAGAGAGAGTTTGGGGAAATCAAGAAGTGAGACCCCTGTCTCTTCCATTGTCATATATAGCTGTGGAGATTTACAAATAAAACCCTGATTAGTAGAGGATTCATCATCATCATTATCATCATCCATGCCTAATCCCTTATCCCAACTATATGGGGTTGGCTACATGAATCCTGTTTCATCCATCTGTTCTATTTAGAACCATATCCACTGTTAAATTATTAGTGCTTAAATCATTTCTTACTATTTCTACCCATGTCCTTTTTGGTCTACCCGAGCTCTTTTGGCCCCTTCCTCATTAGTAGAGGATTTAGAAGAGAAAATTAAATTACTGCCCTTGATAAGTGATGACAAATGAGACACAACTTTTCAACAGTCCCCCTCAAATGTCCTTGGTAGAAGATAGGAACATAATGTTTATAGCAATGTGGGGCTGCATGGAACAAGCCAAGACATCACCACAAGATTTTCTTTCTGCCACTTAAGGTGGTATAGAGGATCATCTAACTGGGCTTTTTTTTTCTCCCTCACAGTGAGGTACCCTAGCTTCCCTTGTCCACCAATATTGTAATTTTAGTGATTGTGACCGCTCAGAAAAATTGTTTCCATCAAGTTTAGCTGTAGCGATTTGGAAATGTAGGCTATCAATAGACTCTATAGAGAACCTTGAGGCATTCTTTAAGACTTGAACTTGGAACAATAAGCCATCAAGCCAAAAATGGGGCAAAATCAGCACTGGGACTAGAGGACAGCACCAAGAACAATCACCAAATCACCAACCAGTTAAAGACAACACTCATTCATAAAAAAAAGCCAGTTAGGGACAACACAATGAAGTCACCATCTGATGTGTATAGAGGTGTACAGAGACTATGGAAGAAAGGGGTTCATTGATTCAATTTGACATCCGGAAAGTTGGGAAGATGGAAGAGAGAATGAGGGTGCTGAATGCAAGTCTGGTAGGGAGATTCATAGGTTTGGATTTGGATATGGAGAAGGTTGAAGCATGGGCGAGTCTTGAATGGGGAAAAGTGAAGGTAATGGGTGTCAGAAAGTTGAATGGAGGATTGTTCCTACAGCAGAGAAATGGTGGGAAGGATTTTGAAGTTAGAATCATCGGTGGAAAGGGTGTTCGAATGTTTGATCTCTGACTTGGATGGTGGTTTCTGGAAACAGGTGCGTTAAGCAATTTTATTTTATTTTTTAAGAGAAGGTAAAGTAAAGATTTGTATTAAAGTATGCTGTAGACACAAAGTACAAGTGTTGACAGATCAACCATGTACAGCCAGGAACTGAACTATACATCAGGATTCAGAAAAAGATTCCCAAAAATGTTAACAAAGAAACATCAAAAAACAAGATTCAAAAAAAAGAAAAAAACTGATCAGCTTACCTGATTATCCAAAAAGAATGTTGTTTTCAAAATACTGATTGCGTGGAATTCTTCTAAACAGATCTGTAGCTGAAAAGCCAGGAATGGGTTGAAGCCACGATCTGATGCACCACCTTGTCCAGAGCCCAGCTTTCTTTCTCAAAAATCCTTCTATTTCTCTCCTTCCACAGTCCCCAGCAAATGGTGTGGGAAATTGTGCTCCACAAAAGCTTCCCTTTTTAATTTAAACCCAACAGGTGCATTAAGCAATGGAAGAAGAAGGGTGGTGTGGATTGACGTAATCGGGATCCCACTTCATGCCTGGAGCGTACTCATGTTCAAACTGATTGGTGATTGTTGTGGGAAGTTCTTGAAATTTGATTCCAAGAATAGGACTTGGGAAAGATTGGATATGGCAGGATTGCTGGTTGAGGTGGAAGAAATCTCAATCATTCTGAACAGTTTAGAGTTGCAGTCTGCTTGGGAAAGATATGAGTTAAGATTAGTGGTAGAAGGTGAGGACGGAACATTTCTGAGTTCGTTAAAGGCATGTAAGTGTAGAGAATTTGACTTGGCTTCAAAGGAGGAAGAGTTGGTGTGCAAGAACCAGAAAAATAGAGCAAAGGAAGGGGAGTTGAAGGGTCAGATGCAAGAAGAAGATGAAGGTGAGGTGGAAGTCTTGAAGGGAAAAAATGGAATTTTAGGGGAATTAGGGAGCGAGGGAGTCAAAGATGGAAGACACGTGGGGGGGGGGAGGAGAAGGTGGGGGTAAGGGAAGATCAAGATATGTGTGAAAAGGTGTTGGGAGGTGACAAGATGCATATGTCAGAGGATGTAAGGAAGTTGAAGAGTTCGAGTGGGGCCCACTTTAAAGTAGGAAGATAAAAAGACTTAAGCGATGAGCATAGACCGAAGGGGCTGGGGGTTTTTAAATGTGAGGGGCATAGTTGGGAAAAAAGTTGAAATAATTGGGTAGTTTGAGAAATTCAAAGAAAAGGTCAGCATCAGTTTGGAGAAAGAATTCGAAGAGCCCAAGAGAGGAATGGGTTTGGGTGGTTACAAGGTTTGAGAAGGACAAGAAGTATTTGAAGGTGCTGAGAGAGGGGAGAAGAGTTGGGGAGCTTGAATGCTTGATAGAGACAGCATGGCAGGATCAAACTGAGTCTCAAGAAAAGGCAATAGAGGATCGGATTGCTAGGGAACAGAGGCAACCTAACAAAGTGAGAGCTTTGAAAGGTGGTGAGATTGTGAGAATTCAGTGATGGTGCAGAACCAGACTGCTCAGCAAGCGGTAGGTGGCATTTCTGATTCTTCAGAGAAGCTGATAGAGAGGGATCGAAGAACAAGGGAAGAAGAAAAGGGAAATGCTCTAAAGGAGGGGTCTGATGCTGATCTGTTCGATGAAGAGGTAAGTACATCTGGCTCTTACATATATATTGCCTTGGATGAGCAAAGGGAGGAAAGAGCAGAGGTGAATAAGAGGGTAGTGGAAGAAGAGGAGAGGGGAGAAGGTGGGAAGAGAAATTTTTCGTTTGAAGCTGAAGGCAGTGGTGCACAAAAGAGGGTTTATAACAGGAAAAGGAGGTGTTCGGACTGGTGAAGCTAGTATGAAGGGGGGGAAGGGTGAGAGTAGGGTAGGAGAATTTGGAGGGAGAGATAGTTTAGAAACTGATTTCAGTCATATATTTTCTTTCCTTTTCTTGTCTTTTGGGGGCACCTTTTTATGTTGTATCATATGCACAATATATTCTTTTTATTTTTTCTTGTGAGAGGGACATAATGGTCCTTTCTCAGCTACATACAGAATATATATATATATATATAGGGGCTGAACCCCTATTTCTGTTATAGGAAAGGAAGAAAAGAAAAGGTGGAAGAAGAACTATTAGATTGAGGTTTGATTCTTGGGTTTGTAAGGGAGATTGAAGGACTATTAGATTGACTTACCTGCATCGGTTTGGGATCTTTTTGGAAGCTGTTCTGATTAGAACAAGTTTTCCCTTTTTCTTTTTCTGGAAAATTGCATTCAGCCTTACAGTTTCTCTTCCTTCTCTCGACTGCATCTATCACCTTGAAACTTTAGATCTGAAGTCGCCCAGGTCAGTTTTTATCATCCCCATATTTTTTTTTTCTGAATTGGATTGGATTTGAGGGGTATTCTTCCCTCTTCTTTGTTCGACAGTCGTATGAATTTACCTTATTTGGACTTTCACCTGTTATCACTCTTGTTCTGGCTGTTCTCTTGATTGGGTTTTGATCCCTTCAGTGTTGTGTGATGATCTATTTCATCTCTATTATCAAGTGTAGACCTGTATTGGTAAAGTGGTTGCCTTGTTTTCTTATTTTTCTTTGGATTCTCTTGAATCTTTCTGCTGAAATGGTGTAAGACAATGGATTTATACAAGTACATGGACCTGACTGACTCGACATAGATCCGAGGTAGACCGGACTGGTTCAAGTCAATTACCCAATCAAGCAAAGCTATTTGCACTAGTTTAAATAGTTTGCTAGAATGGCATGCACATTAATTAGGCATAAGGGTAAAATTGGCAAAGACAAAAATAAAGAAGATTCTGAAAATGGAGCTTCAAGTCACTATAAATAGGGCCCGATACCCATATGAGGACCCATTAATAACACATGGGTTAAACCCATTAAGGGGAGAGGGGGCCCATCCCTTCCCTTTTTCTCTATCATTTCCACCGACTTCACTCCCTCTATGTTCAGAACCACCAACTTCACCACTGCCATCTTCCTCTAGATCAATAGAGAGTAAGACCATCCTCATCCTTTTGGTTGTCTTACAAATGGCTTTGGAGAAAAGAGACATTTTGCTTGTGAAGTTCGATGGAACTAATTATGCATTTTGGAAGTTCCACTTTCAATTCTTGTTGAAGGAAATGGTCTTTGGGGGTAAGTCACCTCCTCACAACCAGAAATTGATATTTATATAAAATACGTAAAGGACAGATTTGTTCTCAAGATACAAAATAGTGTACAAAAAAGGTACAAGAAAAAAGAATATAGTGTACACGGAGTATAATATAAACATACTTCCAAGATACATAAGAAGTAAAAAGACACCCTCTTTACACTCCCCCCTCAAACTGATGCTGAGGAATGCACATTAATTTGTCCATGAAATAGGTGTGCTGTGCTCTTGACGTAGCTTTAGCAAGAAGAGTTGCAATCAAAAGTCTAGAAGTGACATGGGGGAGAGAGATATGACCCACAAGGTGGAGATTCCTAATAAAGCGACAATCAACTTCAACGGTGTTTAATATGAAGGTCATGTAAAAGAGCCTTGAGCCAAATAATCTCATTGCAGACAGAGGACATGGCCCTCTATTCTCCTTTAGTAGAAGATTTAGAAACAGTAGATTGC